AATTATATTCCATCGTCGTTTTGGCAAAGTTTAACTCTGTTCAGATTTGCTTCTATGCACCAGTCCATAGAAGAAAGAATGTTTGTTTCTCAGCAATGCTTGTGGGGTGTCAAACTCGATCACAGTCCCTCGATCCATGACAAGAACACGATCACTATCCATAATGGTATTGAGCCTAAAACAAGGGAGATTGCATTGACTATTTGTAGGGAGCTTACACAAAGGCTTTTTTGAGCAATGAATATCAACCGCCGGAAGTGAGGGAATTTGTATTACGAAGTGTCTTTACTCTTATAGAGACGATTTGCTCAAAAATCTGGGCAAAAGTACTACCCAACAATGCAAAAAGGTCTACTTTTGTGGTTGTGCGTCAACTGCACCTCAAAAACGTCTCTTTGCTCGAGCTCCCTAATATTACCCACTTGCTAACAACCTAAGTAACTGAGAAGCGTTGATCAGAAGTAACAAAGGAACTCTCCTGAATTGTAGTAGTCTTATAAGCCACTTTCTAATATTATATTATTTATGATGTGCACACGTGCCGCGTATTCACTGCAGATGGTCAGAATTTGGAGACTCAAAATCACTTAGAAAAGCGGAAAACGTAAGTTTTTATCACGTGACCAACTTTTCTCTTTCGTCTTCTGTTGGTTACATCTACAGAAAAATTAGTAGACTACTTTCGTGTCAGGTTCACCCATAAGGGTTATTTTGCAAAGACTGTTTTTATCAGCTCTTAAAAAATTGTCAACTGACGTTTGCCGTCAGCCGCAAAACAAAGTCTAATTCTCTCTATTAATGCAGAAAAAGAAAGAAAGGCAAAAGATTTCGCTAATGGATCGTGTCTTCTCTCTAAGGTCAAATTTTTAGTGTACTCTAGAACAAGCCGCCAACTCAACTGATAGATTTCAACTCTGTGTCAAACTTGAGTTAGCCGACTCGATAATCAATACCACATCATTTCTCGCTAGTATCAACGTATCTAACCTGTGAGCAATGGTTAAAACAGTGCTCTCCTTAAATTCATTTTTGATTGTCTGCTGTATCAGTTTGTCTGTTTCTAGGTCAACGCTTGCTGTTGCTTCATCAATACACAGCACCTGAGAACGATAAGAGAGTTTCCTAAGTGGCTGTAGTCTGCGTAGCAGGCGCCGGTTTTTAAGGGTGAAGTAGGCCTCCTCTCCCTCCGCGTTTTCTCCTTGCACGGCCTGAAAAAAAACTAACCGGCGCCTGCTTACGCAGGTCTAAAGTGGTCGCAAAAAAGGGAGAAGTTAACACCCAAAATTTAAGAGCGCCGAATGCTACAAACTAGGACAAAACTTGTAGAGACATTACTCGTACTTTTTCCTTTCACCATGAACAGATGCAAACCGTCGCTAAATAAATGATTATCCCCCCATTATTCCAGTGTTGTTTAGTGTAACCTAGAAATATTCACGTTGGTGTTTCGATCAAAACAACTTTGAATAGGAAGGGGGTGTCTTTGTCCTGATTAGGCTAAGAAAAACATGGGAGAATGACGCGAAATTTAAAAAGTAAATGGAACTGTCTCAGACTTTCGTCCAAGGTTGTAACTAAATACTGCCAGCTCTACTGAGAGACAATCATTCTTGCTTTTCCACTGCAGCTGAAAATGTAGAAGGCAATAGGATATTGCATTCCGTATTTTGAACTCACTAAAATTTAAAATTCTAAAGGTTTTTCCAAGAAATATAAAAAGTAATTTAGAGAAGGTTTGATTGGCTCCTAAACTTACACCATGTCTGTTTAATTTGAAATATGACTGCCTGGACATCTTGGTATTGGCCCCGCGAGGCAAGCCCCCGAAATAGAGCGCGAAGAGGGCAAAATCGGGTGTTTTTGCGCGCAAAAATTCCCCCTCCGAACGCCTGGCAAAAAGGCAGGCTATGTTGGTAACCTGTAATTAAGAATGGGGTTGTCATAAATTGAGTTTTCAAGTTTCGTCAGAATTTTTTCCCTAAAGTAATTAATTACCTTCGATCGCGTCAAAAGAGCTCTGGCTAAACAGACGAGCTGCCGCTGACCAACTGAAAAATTACGGCCACGTTCACCGACATCAGCGTCCAGGCCTCCTGGAGAGATATAGAGCAGTGAAGAACTGAAATTCAGCTGATCACTCAGTTTTCGTATAACGCTTTAGAGTCTATTGGAAAGGCCACGCTCTAAGTCTTGTAAAAATCAGTTTTCTAAATTTTTTTTTCTCTTCGCATTATGGACGATTAACGAGCAGCTCACGAACAATTGTCTAAAAACATATGACGAGACAGTAGTCTCAGGGGCACCCAACGAGAATATAGTTCAAAACCACTTAAACATAGCATTGTTAAACGTATTTTAGTATTTAAACGGTAGATATAGGCATATTTTTATCCCCTAAAAATTTTTCATCTGTTCGGATTTCCTAGCTGAAAGTCTAGTGATCCGAAAATTATAGGGATCAAAACTTACCTTTTCGAAAATTTCAGCCAGAAAAAAGGCT